TCGTCCTCGGTACTCATCCCTCCCGCAGGCGTATGGTAATGCCCGATACCATGCTCATAATGGCGCGAGCACCAGTGCAACAGGAACTTAGATACGCGCCCCAACACCGGGCGACCCTCGTCGTCCATAAGAGGCTCCCCGTTCTCGTCGGTCACTGCGATCTCTTCTTCATATACGGAATCCAGAGCAGTCTGGGTGATCGGCCGCACGACATACCATTTGTCCTTAAAACCCCGGACCGAATCCATGTACATCCTGAACAGCCTCTTCGACTGTTTCAGGGAAACCCAACTATGCCTACCTCCTCGAGACTGGCGTTGCAAATGAAAAACTCTGAAGAAGAGAGGGATGGTCGCCCCGATCCTTAAAAAGCGACACATCAGCTCGAACGCTCGAAGAAAGGCGATCGAGTTGGGGTGAAGCTGCGAGGGGGCCAAGTCCAGATGACAGAATACCCCGACCTGGAAATCACTAAAGGGGAGCTTGAGACCGAGGTCCTTGAACGCGATTTCATACATGGGAAAACCATACTCAGAGAACTCTGAGCAGATCCGCGCGTCAAGAGACGGTCTTGTGACAACAAAGTTTTTCTGGAAGCCCGACTGACTATCGCCATGTTCGACGATAGTGTAGGTGCTCCGACTGCGCCGACTATATGCCGAGGCAATCCCTCTGGGATCGGCGCCCATCCAATCCAGCAAAGGATCATCAACGGTATCAATTAGAGTTACATTCTCCTCGGTACTCTGGTCCTCGACCTCGTTGCGCCCCGAAGACTCTGGTTCATCATCCATTTTACCTGCAAAGCACAGGAAACCGGTGAAATTCGAGAGCAAATCCATACGCTCGCCATAACTGACGGGAAGAAGGGCACGACAAGCCAAGTCACACTCCACGTGCGTTAAAACGTTGAGGACTCGAACAAGAGCCTGGTTTCACCTCCCCGACGCTAAGGTGCCACGACGAGTCGTCCTACATACTTCCTAAATGGGCCAACATCCCGGCCAATCATGAGTACGTCGACCTAAACTATGAATATGACGAGCAATATCATGAATCCTAAACCTAGAACTATGGGTTTACCGGGCAGTATCATAGGTTATGCGCCCAAAACCATAAAGATCCCGGGCAGCATCGCGAGTCACATACCTAAAGTTATGCATTTTACCAAGCACAAACATGCGTTTACCGGGAACAAACATGAATATACCGGGCATGAACACGAATGTACCGGGCGCTAATCCCAGATGCGGGTTTCTAACATCCAAATAACAGAAAAATTACATACAACAGAGAAAAATATGAGGGATAAACGCTTACTTGGAAGTTAAGGAGGATGTACGCCAGCAGCGAAGAAATCGACGGCGGAAGGTACGGTGATCTTGCAAAGTTCTGGAAAAACAGCGGCGGAAAAGGCAGAGGAAGAAGAGAAGCGCGAAGAGGAAAAACAGATTATGGGACCCAAGGATCCTATTTATAGGGATGACGTGGAATACGAAACGTCGCCCCGGGGAACCACGAGCTTCCCCTCCTCGACGTCTACTCCCCTAGGTAATGATGGCTCTACGTTCACTAGGGTAGCGTCACGGTTCCCAAGGGTTACCTCGTGTACCCAACGAACACAGCCCGCTAAGAATCCCCCCGAGCATGCCTCGAAAAGGATTACCCCACGAACGCAACTCATGAGAAACTCCTCGAGCAATCACGAGGAAGAAAAATATCCTGGGCCGGGCATCAGACCCCGTGGCAAAAGCGAGCTGAGGTCAAGTCATAACTCCTGCTCCAGGAGCCACGACTTGGGGGGCTCATGTTCTGGACTGGCCCCGCCCTGGCCCAAGAGCAAGAATGAAGGCCCAATCCAAGCAACTCTTCAAGGAGCGCGCGCCCGAGGATTCTCGCCAGCGCATCGACCAGAAGCTGTAGTCGTGCCCGCCGTTGCCCGTGAACATGGTGTCCTCGACCACCTGAACTCCAGCTCGAGCCCAGCTCGAGCACCCTCCTCGTAGGGCAGACTCTAACCGTTACCAAATCACCTGAACTCCGAAAAGACCGCGTCCTCGTCCCTCCTCATTTCTCGCAGAGCATCACCAGGAAGGAGACCACGTGCGGGTCCCCACTTACACACGTAGAACCTGGCAGTCCCTTTATTAGGCCAGTCCTGGTCGGTCCAATGAAAGGACCTTGGCCCCGTGTTGGAGACTATAAATACCCTCTGTTCCCAGAGGGTCAGGTATTCATTCTCTTATCCATACATGCACTTTTTTGCCTGCTCGTATCATCACTCACTTTAGCATCAGAGTGCCTTGCATGTACCCCCCCCCCCTCCATCTCACTCAACTTCCGCTCGGAGCCAGTCGTGACGGTCCAAGTCTGATCAGGTAGATTATCAAATAAGATATATAATATTTTTTATTATTATTTTAAGAAATTATGCTATAAATACCAAATTTCATTACAAACAAAAAAATATATTAGGAGTGTACTGAAAACATTTGAAAAATTGGTTGAGTCTGACCATAAAATTATGAAATTGTGTTATGGTAAAATCATTTTTTTTTATTTATAAAACATATCTTTATTTATAACACGTTTTCTATAGGAAATAATTTTGTGGCACATTTATTTGTTCCTTTATATTATTTATAGGCACAAAGTAAGAAGATTTTACTCTATAGTTTCTTTGTAGATACAATATTATTTTATAAGTAGATATTATAATTAAATGACAAAAAATACTTAATCAAAAATTGAAATCAAAGTATCTTTGACGGTATGTGTGATAGCATAGTCTGACGTCAACATTGATAAATAAATTTTATCACTGTTTCTATAAATTACCGTAGAGAATAAAATGAAAATATTTCAGAGACCCAAAGGAATCAATCGTAGAAATACCTTGTTGTTAGCTTAAAATGCCATGGAAACTGTGTATGATTTTGCAATTATACAAATTAAAATGAGTATATCCTCTAATGATATATGTGATCTTTTCTCTGTAAATATACATATAAAAATGTTTGGAATAAACAAACTTCATATAGAAATTTGAAAACATATTTAACTTTAATATATCAAACTTGTTACCGTTCATCAAAAAGGATTGTTAACCTGAATACTATTGACCTTTCAAAACTAATATGCATATGAATAATTGTTAACCTGAATACAGAGGTATAACCGGCGAATATAAAAATCTTCAAGTCCTAAACATATTGGTGCATAAACCTGAGATTGGCTTCAAATCCTAGCTTA